TGTCTTTCCGAGCTGCCGGGGTCACTGTAAGTCCGTTGCTTTTTTTTTTTTTAAACGTTAAAAAACATCTGTTTTTGGAATGGAGCCCTCTCACGTAGCGTTGTGATATGAAAACCATCTTTCTAAACAATTATTACACTCATGGTACAAGTGGGCGGTGTAAGTGGGCGGAGGCCATGAGGGGTCTCAGCAGAACATCGGTGACTGGCTGTGAAGAGCGGAGTGAGTTGTGGTGATTTGCCTAAAAGATCCCACGACCTATTCTGATTATGAAGAACATTTTTCCTAGATGCAAATACGCTGTTTCACTGAGGCTATTTCTGGGAGAGCTTGTTGCACACAAAGAAATAAGAGGAATTTGTAGTGAAGCTTGTTTGGGCTTTCGAAGGATTCAAGCAGAGATGCGAATTATTCAGCCAGAGTCTTAACTTCCCTCTAAACCTAGTTTCAAGAAGGGACGCTAAACTCATCAGATTAATTTTTGCCAAGATCCTCTATTACTGAAGATTCGGTGACAAGGATGAGATTCCAGCAAAGAACGAGTATGGAATCAGACAATCTTTAAGATCCTTTCCAATTCTGATTTTTTGTGATTCCATATTGGGGAGGAAAATAGTCTTAAAACTCTTTACTCAGAGCTTAAACGCTATCTCTTGTTTCAACTCAGTGATAATATTTACTTCTTCTAATGTTCTTCGTAGCAACACCATTTATTTAATTTAGTCCTATTCAAAATTTCTAGAAAACTGTTGGATTTGAACAAATAGAAAAATGTAATAGCTTGAGCTCCTTATCAACAAAGAGAAACTTCTTGTCTGAGTTGGTGTCCAGAAAAGGGATCGGTAGCTTTTGGGGTGCAACAGAGATGGTGAGGGCCATTTAGTAAACAAAAGATGACCCTTCCCTTCCTCAGTGTGTGATGTTTCTCAATGTCATTTCCATCCCTATGGCTCTATACACATGCCAAGTTTTAAACTCAGTGCTCAGACTAGAAGAAAGGACAGTAACTTGACCTGGCTCAATAGATCAGGAAATTAAATTAGCACTAGAATAACAAACATGTGGAAAATAAGGTTTTAGCAAGGATGCTACAAGTGAATTTAGAGCAGCCAGCTAGAGTGGTGTAGAAGTCACCCAAGCCAGTAGTTGAAAGAACAGTGTTGGGATTGTCAGGAAACAGGCTCAAGGTCTGACTCTGCCACTGACTGGCTAAAAACCCTGGGCAAAGCATCTCCCACCTCTGGGATTTGGGTTCCTCATCTATAAGTAAGGTTGTGGGGTTTTAAAAAATTTTACTTAATATTTATGTAGCGTTTCCTACATCCCAGGAGCTGAGGCGAGTTGTTTTATAAGAGACTCTCATTTGATTCTCAAAAGTATTGGGCCTTGGAAACTCTCAAAGAGCTTTGAGAGAGACAATACTTGAAGCAGCTTCTGCCATAGCCTTTGGTCTTCCTTCCCTCCACTGGATCCCAAAGCAGCTTTCCCACTACTGTTTCTCCTTGCAGGTTAAGGGACTCAGGAATGAAACCACCATGCAAAGATGGAAATTGGCCTGGAGAAAAGGAATTTCATGACTTGATCATCTTTTTCAGCTTGTGAAGATCTATTTTTGGGGCTGGTGGAGTCAAGGTAATTGTAAAACTTGGAAAAATTAAGGAATTTATGGCAGGCCTGAAGCTGGAAACAATTACACTAAGTGATGAATGGAATGGAATGGAATGGCCCTGAGGTCTAGAACCCAGAAGGACCTAGATATAGAGATCATGTTACCTCTTAACCCAAATCTTCATGGGCAAGGCTACTTCAAGGGTTCATCTGTCCAGAATGGTTTAGATCAAGTGTTCAATGAGACATAGCAGTGCTTTAAATGAGCTCTAAATGTCCCCTCCAGTCCAGTCCTGTGAGATAATAAGTAAAGTTTTGTTGTTGTTGTTGTTGTTGTTTTGTTTTATTTTTAGTGAGGAGAGTAATAATTTAGCAACACAGTCACAGTACAAGAAAAGATCTTGGTGGAAATTTTACTTGGGAAGGTATAAAATGCCAAATTAATTGATGTGCTGTGGCATACAAGATGTTGTCATTGAATCTTTTGATTTGATTTCTACATAGGTAGTTGGGGCATGGACCTCACTGGCCTGGGAGTCAGGAAAACTATTTAATCCCGGCTCTACCTGCGGCCTTTTCATTAAAAAAATGCTAATAATAATCTCTGCTCTGCCTGTCCTACAAGAATGTTGTGAGAATCAAATGAGCTAATGTATATTGGAAGTGTGGTGGAAATAGTCAAATAGTTATAGGATATCAGGTATCATAAATTAGATATCATAAATTAGGATATCATAAATTAGAAAAAGAGTTCATCTGTCAAAAAATAGGTATAGAGGGGTGCCTGGGTGGCTCTGTGGGTTAAACCTCTGCCTTCAGCTCAGGTCATGATCTCAGGGTCCTGGGATCGAGCCCCACATCAGGCTCTCTGCTCTGTGGGGAGACTGCTTCCCCCTCCCCGTCTGCCTGCCTCTCTGCCTGCTTGTGATCTCTCTCTCTCTGTCAAATAAATAAAATCTTTAAAAAAATAGGTATAGAGTTAGAACCAATTGGTATTTTAGGAAAGGTTCATAATTCAAATGTTCTTTCATAATTATGTGCATGGATAAAGGTACAAGAAGGAGGAGGAAGAATGGAATGGCTGTTGTATAGCTGAATCACTTTTCTTTCACTTAGAAGTCAAGAATTAGCCTCTTAGTTTGCTGTAGCAAGAAATGGAGGCATAGCATAGAATTATTCTCAAACCACATGACCTGGGCTTTGTGAGCAAGGTTAAGTCAATTTCCATAAAGCTTGAGCCAAGAAATTCACACGAAACTAGAGAGCACAGGGCAGCTTTCTGGTTGACCAAACTCATTTCGGGTTATGCAAACAGCATGGAAGCCAAAAGAAGATGCTCAGTATAAGATCATCTGAGCTTTTTGAGACTGAGAATAGAGTAACATTTAACTATTTAGAGGTACAATAGTATAGGGAAATAGTAACTGGAAAAAATATATCATGGTTTTCTCTCCCGAGAAGCTGAAAAATGAAAATTATCTCATGGTGAGATACTGGCTTAATAGGTTGAACAATGCTCTTTCTGCAAAGATGTTCACATCCTAATCCTTGAAACCTAAGAATATGTTACCTTACATGGCAAAAGGGACTTTGAAGATGTGATTAAGCTAAGGGTCTTGGGTTGGGAGATTGTCCTAGGTTATGTGGATGGACCCAAAGTCATCACAAAGATCTTTGTGATAGGGGTAGGGAAGAGAGTCAGAACCAGAGAAGATGTGGTGATGGAAGCAGAGGTCCGGGAGAGAGAGATTTGAAGATGTTCAGCTACTGGTTTTGAATTGGAAGAAGGGGCTATGAACCAAGGCAGGCAGATGGCCTCTAGAAGGTAGAAAAAGCAAGGACATGGATTCTCCCCTACTGTCCCCAAAGGAACAGAGCATTGCCTGACCCATTATAGATTTCTGACTTCCAAAACTATAAGATAATAAATTTATGTTGGCTTACTCCATTAAGTTTGTGGTAATTTTTTAAGTAGCAATAGGAAAGCAGCAAATAGGAAAGCAAAGGCAGGTAATTTCAGGCTGTGAATGTCTCTGCTAAATTTGACCTCTGTAAGTTGAGGAAGGACAAAGGAACAAAACAAGAAAATGATAAAACATGACCAAAAACAGAATGCTGATGATAATTTGTTAACATAAATCACTAGTTTCTTTGAATCAATGGCTACTGCTATGGTTGTGAATTGTATTCACTGGTTTCTAGTTTGTACTTGCCCTTTGCTTCCTTGTTATGGACACACACACACACACACACACACACACACACATCACTTAAAGCAGAAAAATTAAAGTTGTATGGAGATGTGCCTTGACTCCCACTATAACTCCCTGCCTCTCCCCACTGATGTCTCTTTACAGGAATCTCTCATTTCCCTATAGACCCGTATACCCTCCCCATCCCCCATTTCCCCCACCATCAGAGGGCTTTTTGATCTTCTCTGAGACAACTCTTTCCCAGACCCTAGGCTACTCTGAGGCAGAGGTTGTGAAGGAAAAATCTCAGGAATTCCACGGCAGGTAATGCTTACTAACGCCTGACAAAAACAGCCTCTGGTTTATTGCAGGGCTGTGTGTTGGGAGAATTTGGAGCCAAGATGTTGCTCAAACAGCTACAAAGCGTAGCTTTGAGCTCGTGTGTGGTTTTATCTCTGCAAAGGAAGGAAAGCTGGAGGCCTAGCAGAGGGAAGCCATCTAGCTTGTGAACAGGGTGGGCCACTTTATTCAATGTGTCCTCAGAGGTAGGGAGAACGGCTTTAACTCTTTGAAAGCCATGGAAAGAATATGAAATACTATGCTGTGGCGCTCAGCTAGGAAGTCCCAGCTCTCAGGATCCTGACTGGCCAGCAGCCTAGCAGGACACAGGAGGCTGTAATGGGCTGAGACAGAACTGACCCGAAGATCAGATATGACAGATAGGACCTCTAGGCCATTTCTCCAGAGTGGTGAATCATCTGGTTAAGTCCACCAAAGATAAACATTAAATGGTGCAAGTCACCATTAAGATAGAACATCTGGTCAGAATTTTCATACAGAAAGATTGTTATCAGTGGGACACTCCGGAGATTTGAGTTATGTAGTCATGGCCTCAGTTGTCCAAATGAGTTCATAGTCACTCTGGCCTCTCCTCTCTTCCTTCCCCCACCCCCCACAACATTATTACAGAAAAATGATGTGTAGGAACTAGGAGTAAAACATCCTGCTTTCTCTTTGAGGGTTTTCCTACATTTCAAAGAGAAAGGGGTTTACCCCATTGTGCCACTCAACTGTTCTCTCCCCTCATTCTCTCCCAAGAAGTATCTACTCACTGGGGATAAAGCATTTCCAAATATGACTCTTTCCACTTGGGCTTTACAGACTGTAACTTTAAACTTGGAAAGAACAGAAACAACGTACATGCTCTGATGTGAAGGCAATGAGCCTGGGAACAGCAGCCATTCCTTTCTCCTTGACTTCTGGGAACATCTTAAAGCGTGCAATCAGCATGGCATACATGTTAGATATAGCGCCACCTAAAGGAAGTAACAGCAACACACAGTGACCTTTTGTAGTCCTTACCAACATCATTTCACATACAAGCACCATTCTTTATTTCCATTGACCTAGACTCCTCCTTGGACAGAGGGAAAGCCATATTTATTGGTTATTCTTTGAACTGAATCCTCAAACTCAGACTGAATCCTCAGGCTAGGAGGGTCAAGAGAAGGGAGCATCGGGCCAAACCATAGGACACATGCCACCCCTTTGTATCCCAGCTGAACAGAACTGCCAATTGATTCTGCTTTTGCTGGGACTCCTCTGAAGAGGTTCTTTAGAACTGAGAAATTGTTGCCTTCCTTTGCACCATGTGAACGTGGTCATTCTTCATTACGCCTGTGGAAATCTTATTTTTATCCTGATGGAGAAAACATTTCTTTTCATTTCAACTCAGGCAATGTCTTGTACTTGCACAAAGATAAGTCTGTTGTAGCTAATGGTGTGGACTGTTAATCCACAATTCTCACAGAATGAGGATAAACATCCAAGCCCATTTCATCATACTCATCTGTGCATTTCCCCAGAAATTCTTTCCACTCAAAGACATCACAGAAGTATAATTGTAATAGCTGAACAGAATCTTATTTCATAATGATAAGAAAACACAAAACTAAGGGAATTTTAAGTCTATGTTGAATTGCCTTTCCTTTGTCGTCCTAAGATTGTCAAGGATTTCATACCGTAACGTTTGTATCTTATAAGTAAGGTCTCCAGCAAAGAAAAGTGAGCTTTCCCCCAAGATTGTTGGAAAGTTTAGAATTTTTGCAACGTAAGATGAAGACAGGTTGTTGTGCATGCAAATGGAGATGACGACATGGAAACAGGGACATCATGAGGCAGAGTGAGGCCACTATCTCCTCCCTTCCCATAGGGGACACACTGGGCTTTGAGTTCCCTTCCCTTTGGGTGGCTGAGGAGCAGAGAGCTCTTTGTACCAAACTGAATGGCTCACATAGGGCCATGACTTTTGCCTCATGCACCCTGGGTCCTGAAGCAAGCAGGCAGCCTGGCCCTGGCTCTGTCTTCAGTCAGAATAAGGGTAATTTCTACATCTTCTGAACCCCAGAGACATGGGGCAAGCAGAATCCAGGTCAGGCCTGCTTTGAGCAGACACCTTGTCTACAAGGGCTGAGGTTGTAGGATGCTGCTGGGAAAGGGACCAGCTTTTAAAGGAAATTCCATTCCATCCTATGGTTTTTCAGTTTGGGCATGAGAACGGCTTGTTGGGCGGCGGGGGGCAGGGGTGTGTGCTGTTCTGTGCACTGCAGGGTGTTTAACAGCATCCCCGACTGTTATCCATTAGATGCTGCTAGTACTACCTGCCTCCTCCGCACCCCCGCCCAGCTGTGACAACTGAGAACTTCTCCATTCATGGCCAAATGTCCCCTAGGGGTACAAGAGCCCCAGCAGAGAAGCACTGTCCCAGTTGTTCTTGTGAGAGAGGCTGGGGAGAAAGGAGGCAGGAGAAAAAGGGGAAGATGAACACAAAGAAAACACGTCACATAGCACAGTTATTCAAGAACCTTCCAGCTCTACCTTGCCACTCCTCATTGTGTCTCCTCACTCCAATTATTCTCTGTCTAAAGATCCAGGAGCCCTGAGAGACATGAAGAAGATTCTGGATCGTTAGAGCAGACTGCTTTGTGCCACCCAGGCAGGAGGACAGATGCATCTTGAGAGGAAGGATGCAATAAACAAGCTCTGAATCATCAGGAAAATCCCGTTAGACAGGGAAAAGTTTGTGACTAAGCCAACATATCCTTTTCTTCTCCTTTGGTCCTTCATGACTTGCTGAGTAGTGAGGAATACTCCAGTAGTCTTCAGCTCCCAGGCATAGGTGACATCACATAAACAGATTTCTTCTAGAAGTTCCAGAGACCTTTCCATGAAGCCTCTGGATGTTATAGACGGAGGTGTAAAGTAAAATGAGCTGAGCTATGTATTCAAGTCACAGACCTAAATCTCTGTGTTTAGTCCCAGGCAATAGGACTTTCAGATCTCAGGCACATACGAGGTATGATTTCTCCTATCCCGACTCCTTAAATGGGAAGACCCTATATCCTAGGAGTAAGGCTGGAGACTACCTAGAAAGGCATCCATTTGCAAGTGAGGATGCTATAATCCATCTCTCCTCTGTAATGCAGAGGTATATGTAATGCAGAAACAGGTTGCCAATGGCCTTTTCTTCTGTCCCCTCCCCACTTTGCAATGTCTACATTATACTTAGCATGACGTCAGTGGCTTCCATTTTGACATGAGAGGATATGGATCTTTAGGCTCCAAGGAAGAAGCCCCATGATCAAGGTTAAGTCTTTCCACATGATCATCTTCTGTCATTGATAGGGGCATCCATACTTAGCAGAACTGCCAAAGAGGGTTCTTTCTCTGGGTGTATATTTTCCGGGGCAAGAGGGTTCCAAGAACAGCTAAATTAGGTCTGGCCCAAGCCCCCTTAGCCAAGCTTTCAGGGTTGGCAGGAGCAGCTGTTCTCTTGTCTCTCCTGGGGACCACTAAAGAGAGCTCAGAATGCTCAATCACATAACCAACCTTGTAAGAGGAAGAATAGAATAGAAACAATGCTGGTCTTTGAACACTACCTAATTCCTCATGAAAAATACCTTAAGAGCCTCAGTTCCAGACAATGATGACAAAGTTCCCTCCATGGGGAATGGTTTTCCAAAGGAGAACTGAGTTCCCTTACAAAATAAAGGCTAGCTTTAAATTCATCACAGCTGGTGTTTGATGGAAAAAAAAAAAAGGCTAATTTTCCCTTCCATTTAACTAACATGTTTTCCTTCAGCACCTGAAAAATGGTGTTGTATCTTTAAAAGCATAAAATATAATAGCAGATCTAAGCTTGTAGGTAAGGCTGCTTAATTTAAGCCCTACCCTTGAGGCCACTGTTGCCTGCCTATCATTTCTTCTTTCAACCTGTTCTTTATTTTCTCTCTCCCTCATAATCCACTTGTCTCTGTGGGTTTGTGGAAGGGACATCCTGACATGGCCCTTGCTAACATAATGGCAGGTGTGGCTGTGGCCACAGGTCCAGTCTCCATGCATGGAGCACCGGCCCCATTCTGATGATCCTCTCCTGCCACTGATTAGGTGATGGTCTGCGCACCAGGTTTATTTTCCACGGGTCAGTGACTCTCCCTCCCAACCACCTTTCTAACTTCTATTTCTTCTCTGCGTCAAAACCAAGGTCACATACAGATCCGGAACCAAGGGCAAGGCTTTTTTTGTCAGGTTGATTCTCTTGGCTGCAAGAGGTGTGAACAATGGAGTTTAGAATCCAGTGGCTGGTGATAAAAAGCAGGATGCAAGAAGGGAAGGCGAGAGAAGCCTCTGGAAGGAATCAACACCCTCCTTTTCAGCTTTAAGAAATGGTTTCCCAAGTCACTCTCTGCCCTCCTTGAAATTGATGTAAATCAGCTTCTCTGGTTGTTACTTGAAAGGGACAGAGTACCTACGCTCTATTACATAGCTGTGCCTCATAATGCATCCCAAAACAGAGAAGGCTTTATTAAATGAGGCTACCCTTTCACTAATTGTGGGAAGAGTTTCAGAGAGTGAATTCCCTTACGAGGAATCTTTATTCTTCTGTTCTTCATGATCCACACATCTTCTAGATAGGATCACAGTAGAAAGACTGGGTAAATTTCTACCTGTTTATCCTCTTTCTGAACACAAATAACTATTGCTCAAGCATGGGGAGTTGGCTTGGAAGCATGGCCAATGGTCATGTATTATCACACTCATGCTTTTGATCAACATAACCTATTTAACATAAGCAGAAATAGAGACTAGGTATTTAATCGCTCCTGTGTTCATAATGAGGCAGTGCATATCAGAAGAAAAAATACAAAGAAAGGTTGAAATATCATATACCAGGAGAAAATATCCCGTCGCCAGAGCCCCCTGGCCAGCCAATGATTTCTCTCATTTTCTTTAGCGTGACATATTCCAAGAGCACAAAGACTGGAGCAATTTCATAGGTGAACCTGAAATGTAGTAATGGCCACATTTTATGTATGTATATAACTCAAAGAAATACTTCATTGTTACAACATCTATAGAACTACTGTACATCCCTTTTCAAACTCTACATTCACAAAGGTTTTGATTATAACATTGAACAGAGAGAAAATTATGTCTTCTTAAAGGTTGCCCATTTTTCTATATTCCTAAAGTCAAGAGCTTAATGCTCAAGGGTCATTTTTCATATTGAATAAATAAAGAACATTACAGAGTAATACTATTTAAAAGACATCATCTGGTCCCGTTTCTTGTTTGCATTATACATAATTATAAATCCAAAATGCCAAAGAAAGTGCCTTTTGTGTTTGAAAAATGTTATATAACTTTGATTGCATGAAAGATACATCAGGACTCTTTTAAGTTAAAGTGAACACCCATATACTTCTGAAGTTTGTATCACTATGTTAGGGGCTACCTAATTAAAAAGAGATTTTCACATGAGAAGTAGAATAAAGACCACGAAATCTCACTAATAATTATCCTGGATTTAAAAAAAAAACACCCCATATTTAATGACTTACATGTTCGTGTTTGCTGTTGATGTCAGCCAGTCTGCTGCTAATCCAACCATATCCAGTCCAGTGGAAAGTTGATTAAAATATCTGGGATGCCCTGAATATAATGGAAAACCAGAATCAGGACTGCATCCAGTGAAACTAAATGCCTCTCAAACACAGGATCGCCCTAGCTAAAGAACCTTGAAATATCCTTCAGTAATAGGAAATCCATATTCAGAAACCCATCATGTGCGTGTGTGTGTGTGTGTGTGCGCGCGCGTGTGTAGGTGCGTTCACACAGACACACCCAAAAGGAGCATTTCATCTAACAAGAGGGACTATTTTGGGTTTTGGTATTTCTTAAAACACACTCTTAAAAAAACTTCCCCTAAACATTATCCTATTAAAAAAAAATAACAAGTGGGGTTTGCAATGCTTATGCTAGTTTATTTCTTAGCATCCCTTCAATACATTTGCAAACTAAACATGCTCATGTAATCCAAAGCTATTCTTGCTTACACTCGTGCTGCTAAAAATCCTTTTTTGTTGAAGTTGTTCTGGGAATCAGTCATAGCATGACATCCGCCAGGCATGCCAATATTCGTAATGATATCAGTGACAAATGACTGATGATTACAAAAGACAAGGCAAAAATGGGAACATAAGACACTCTGTTGAGTGATTTGTCCTGGATTCAAAAGGTGATGATTGCCTATAGAGGGCATGGGCAAATCTAATTCTTGTTGATTCTTTTCGGTCCAAATATTTGATTACAAACAACAGAACTCCTTCACAGTTGTGATTTAAAATAAAGCGGGATACAGTCAACATCACTGCCTTGTCAACAAGATACATGAAGATATATTCAATGGGCTGATGAGTCCATTAGCAAGGCTTATCTAATTAACTTCTAGATTTCTCTGAAACTCTCTAAAGGAGTTGACATCCAAATACTCCCGAGGCTATTATTTTAAATGTGATTGTAAATACCTCATTAGAATTCCATTCCTTGTCTTGCCCCATAAAAGCCTATCTCTAAATCTGTGATTTGCTTGGCAGCAAAAATTTTAGAAGATGATCAATTATGGAAATAGCATCTGATAAGAAGGCGGCCTCCACTTATGGACACCTGTGTGAAGCCCGGGGATGACGGTCTCTCAGGCCAGCATGGGAGGAACAAGATAAAGGAAAGCAATGGGGAAAGCAGGGACAAAAGTCAATACAGAGCTTATCTGTAGGACTGGAGTGCTCTTATCAGCCTCCGGCTAGTGGCTACACAATTAGACACTGAGAAAAGATAGGAGCTGGAAAAGGGCGCATTTCAAAGAGACTGGGATTTGTGTGGCTCTCACTCACTCTCAGGCATTGTTTTGTCTCCTTGTGGCTGTGCACAGTGCCTTTCTACCTTTTCGCTTTTTACCAGGCCCTCTGATGCTGACCCTGTCAATTTATGTATCCAGGGAAAGTGAGAAAGCTGCCGCCCGGGGGCCGTGGTCTGGAACAGCTCTCCCCTGTCTCTGCCTCATTGACTCCCCATTTCATTAGAGCTCACAGCTGAAATCACAGCCGCTTCTCCCTCCCGATGCCCCTTCATTTCTCTTTTCCTAAGCCATATCTTTAAAGCGAGGAAATTAATAAAGATTAGCAAATCAATCCATTAATCTACTCTCCCAATTCATATGCATTTTCTGGATGAATGTGGCATCTATTATCACACGCTATTTAACACTCTGGAAACTTTGGCATGAAAACCTCTGCAAAAAAAAAAAAAAAAAAGCGAGAGAGAGAGAGGGAGAGAGAGAGAAATTCCAAGGTGTGTGTCCAGCCCCAGGATATCAAAAGGCCAATCCATCCTGCTACCTGCCACTGGAAAACTGGGAAGTAAGTTTGTGGCTTCCATGGCTTGACTCCCTTCACTATTTATTTGATCTCGATCTCCCATGGCACCTGAATCTCTCGTGCTTCAAATTTTTCGTTCATTGACGGTGATGTGAAAAAAAATGGAGGGAGATAGTTTGACAGGTTAGAACAACATGTCCTCTTGATTTCTGCAGGAGTATGCTGCAGAAATACTCTATTTGCTCCCTCCCCGTGACTCCCCGCAGGCTGCCGGCGAATCCGGGCAGGGCTCTCCGAGAGAAAGGGTGTGAGAGACCTGCCTTGGAGGCTGCCTGCCGTCCCAGCCGTCCTGGGCATCCAGCTGCCGCCGCCGCCGCCGCCCGCCCCGGCCCGGGGTTGGCGGCCATGCGCAGCAAGGAGGAAACGTGAGATTAGAGCCGCTCACGCCTCTGGAACGCTCCCCACAGATTAGCAAATGAGCCGCGAAGGCTGCACAGCCTCGGCCAACAACCAGCCCCTGGCGGCCCTGACCCTCTTGTCCACCATCAGCTGGGGAGGTCTACAGAGTCGGTCCAAACTGCTGTGTACCCGCAGCACGCACCCAAGGATGGCCTCATTTATCGATGCTTCCATTTCTTTGTCTGATGGCTCCGTTAAAAGACTCAAGACATTAACCCCTGCGCTCCAACCCCCCTACCACTACCAAGTCCAATGGGCCCTGAAAATGTTAATTATTCCAGAATTCTATCATTCTCTGCAGTTTTCAGTTTTCTGTTCCAACTGTTCTTACAGACGTAATTTTAACCACACATGAAGACTGTCGTTTGCAAGTATCTTCCCCACTGCCCTTCACTCCTCTCTGAGCTTGGAGCCCAAGTGGAAATTAGATTACGGACTCCTTGGTAGAAAGCAGGTGCTAATGTATTTTATAAAAACATCTCCTGAGGAGAACTAAAATGCCTAATGGTCACAGAGATGGTAACAACTTTACAGACCCTAAATAGGGCTAGTGGTCAAATACTAGTTATAGCATAAAAACCTGTAAACTTGCCAGTCAAAAAGAGGTGGCCGGTGTTAATTCTTTGAACTGCTATTTGGGGGTGGAACAGGGAAGACCAGAAGACTACATATGTTATGAATAATATTGATATTGATGCTTAGAAATCCAACTTCATCCCATTTTCCTCTGAACTTTAAATAAAATGCATTAGAACTACATTTGACCAACAGTTTCACAAAGGATTATGGCAAAATCTAAGAACTGAATGGCCCCATCTTCTCCTGATGCTAAATGAAGCATTGACGGACAGAACTATCACTTTCATTGACTTGCAATTCCCATTATCTTAACTCTTTAAATTACATGTCAGACATCACCAGCTTTTAAGGATGAAGATGTAAAACATTTTTATAGGTTCTTTTCAGTTTGGTAGCAATAAAAAAATAGGTAGCAACCTACTATTATCATATTGAAATATTAGGGTAGAGGAATGGGTCAAACAAAAATGAATTAAAGGCACTGTTCAGGTTTGCACCCACAGATACATCAAAAGCTGGGAGGAAGAACATCTGTAATGCCTTGTATATACATCGTGTGGAGTCTCTGTGAACATAATTGAGAATGATAACTAATAAGCCTTCAAAATTCATACTCCACAGACCAAGTGTGATCAAAATCACCAAGTTTAACTCCTTTCCCTATGTACCTAGTTCTAAGTCTATAGTCCCACAGAAGCGGATACGAATAATGCAGCAGATCGATTTCCCTAGGCTGCTTCTTTGCATACTTTTCCTCTCTGTTGGTATGACAAATAGAAAAACAAAACCCAAAAAAGTAGCTAAATGTCACACAGCAAACATTTGTAAAATGCTTGTTGTTGATGCGAGCAATATGATAATTCATTAACCAAAGAAATGGCAACATAAAAAGATCAAGTTCCTATGGGAATTAATATTCATGTGACATTTTTATTTGCCAGGAGATCTTTTTTAAGGCTACAAATCAATTTAGAGCCACAAGGTATTCTATCCCTTGTGGTATTCATTCATACTTAGTTTTATTGCTTTAAGGAAGTGTAGTGGTACCATGCATCAGCATGGTTAGAGACAAGGCAGGAAAAGAAGGGGTAGTCGTGATCTGGGGAGACAAACAGCTGATTTTTGCATAGATAAACTGAAAGCTTAGAATGTGCCCAAATAAATGTTACACCTGGGGCTGCAAAATGAATAGCGTATGAAGACTACTGTGAAAAAAAAGCAATAAATACAAAATACATTTTAAAATAAGGATAAGGATACTTGATTCCCCTCCCCCACCCATTTTCTTCATTTTATATTCAGAATGGCTACGAAGCACACACACATCCTTGTATATAACACGGTTGAATAGTTAAGCTAGTTTGTATTGTGATTTCTTTTGTGGACATTTCTTTTAAAAAAGGAGAAAACCTGGGGTTTGAATCTGAGGTCCTGGCCATTTGAGACAATGCCAAATTATTGTCTCTCTGTAGCGATAATTACATAGAATGGTTTGTCCAATGTCTGACCATTCCTACTCCGTGGAAATGACTAGCACTACACTAGTATTGGGCTTCTGTTTGGATCATGCCTTTTGAGCTTTCATTTCTATATTCCCTTTCTGTCTCCATTTTGGGTCACTTCTACTGGCCTCTGCTGACAAATGGTTGCTTCTACATCAGTGGTTAATCTCCACGGCCAAATGCATGCAATGTAAAATCTGATGATTTATACTTGATACATTTATAATGTTTCTGATATTATCAACTTCAAAAACATCAATAGTAAAGGGTGCCTTTGCTTTATAGCATTCTAATAATGACTTTTTTAATTGATGAAAATAACTCTGTAAATTTGAAAATACCAGTAACGCCAAAACAGAAAACATTTTTATATAAAATAAAAATTGTAAAAGGAAAAAAGAGCTTTATTATTTTTGACTGGACAATACCTGTTTTAATTGCATATTTTAGAGTCGTTTGGCAATGCATCAAAATTTCCTCCAAATTTTGTGGTTGGTCTGCCAATTCCCAGTTATACTCTTGAAGGAGCTCATTAGGATAATGGAAATCAATCACTTTGGTTGATCTATCGAAACTTTTCACCACATACTGAAGCAAAATGTCCATAACGTCTTGCAGAAACGCCAAAGTGGGCCTTTCTCCATCACATGCTGGCAGCAGGTCTAAAGAATGGAATAAAAAATGCCACATTTTAATTTTACCGTGAAAATATCCAGGCAAGATCTTGATTCGGCAATTTCTCTTTGGATTGAGAGATGTTGTGCTTTAAAAATCTGGAAACGCAGAGCGTTTTCTTTAAAGGGGAGGTATTTTTCAAAGACGAAGGAAAAAGAGAAATTGCGGTTTCTCCCCCCCACCGCAAATTAATTCTTGCATTTCAATCGACAACGTGTTGTTTGCTTTCTTTTTAAAAAGACTATGCCTCCATTCATCTGTTTCACAGGGGTCCGTCCAAATGTTATATCTCAGTAAATCATCTTAAACGATTATGGAAATACGTCACATCAGAAATGTTTGAGGATTGCCTTTGGGCAAATCAGGCAAAGTGGAGCATGCAATGTTAGGATCTCTGACCCATTAAGATGGCTCGCTATTTCCTAAGTCTCTGTGTGTGTGTGTGTGTGTGTGTGTGCGCGCGCTCGCGCGCTCATTTAGGTGACTGGGTGTGTAAACACAGAGGAGTAAAACCCCGCACAGGTCTCACGTGAATGTAATAGTTTCCCTGTGAAACTGCATCTATGAATTACTCTTGCGATCTAAAGACCTAGAACGTCTCAGCAACCAAGTCCCATTCGTTTCAGCGGCCACCAAGAAGCCGACCTCGAGGTTCAGCGCGCGCGGGGACCTCCGCCAAACGCAAACCCAAGGGCGGCTCTGGGACTAGAGCGCCGAGGCCCTAGAGTCCCCTTGGGACGCCCGCGCCCAACGCTGCGCATAGGCCGGGGTTGGGGCTCAGATGAAGGGACAGGCACAGTGTTTCTCGCTTACAGCTGAAGATTCACCCAAGGTCCGTCCGCCTCCGCCGTGATTCTCGACGACTCGGGTCAGGGCCCTGGCCCTGGGTCCCTTTTCGTCGCGGTGGGTGGGGCTGTGCGAGGGACAGTGGTTCCCGGGGACCCCACGAAGCGCATTTACCTGTTGCATGTAGAAACGCATAGTTGACGTCCGCTTTGGGGCAGCTGCAAGGCTTCTGATTACAAGCGCAGGCGGCCTTCCGGGAGGGGGCCCGCGGGGGCTGGCTCCCGCCACTCTCCGAGGGCTTCTCGGCGTCTCCGTAGAGCAGGGCTAGGCAAACACAACGAGAGCGCTGGTCAGCCGGCTGCCGACCCCGGGTCCCTCGCCCCTGCCTATCCTCGGCCAAGAAACCTCAGCTCCGCTGTTGGGGATGCGGAGGTGAGAAGGTGACATTGCCCCGCGGGACCCAGAGGCGACTGACTGGCCGTGTTCGGTTCCCTCCCCCCCTCATGAGCAGGGCACTCACCGCACAGCTTGTTTCCGATGCCGCCTGTGAACTTCTGAGCCACCTGACACCAGGCTCTCGCTGCAAGGAAAGACAGGTAGGAGGACAGCGAGGCAGAAAGAGAACGGCAGACGTGTGAAATTTCGTTCTACGGGAACAAACGCACTAAAGCCGGGGTGGGGAAAAGGGCGGCCGGGAGCTGCGCACAGAAGACAGGTGCAGGAGGGGCGCGGCAGCCAGGCGGCCCGGCCCAGCCCGACCTTACGTTCGCTGATTTGTTTTCAAGAGAAGCCCAGACTCCAGCCCTTTGCACTTGCCTTCCAGGTGCCAATAGGAACGTTCAGGCAAACCCCCCTTCCTGCCTTGCGAGTTTTCCTAGATATCGAAGCTGTCCATTTTCCTCGCAGGCTCTCCTTCCAGCCCAAGAATTCTCTCCCATTTTCCCCCTTTTCCCACAGCCACTCTATCCCTCTACAGGGTCCAGACACCAAGATGGTGGGAGTGCCCCAGGCCCACGGAATTCTGGTTTCGAGGAGACGCCTCTGTGTTTGGGGGGCTCTCCCAAACTTCACTGAAAGGAGTCTGAGATTCTTAGGCGTCTTTCGCAAGAGATAAGGGCATGTGAGGTTTTGGTCTCTTGGGACATCAGGGACCTACAGCGAGGGCAGGGCGAAGTGTCCGAAGTTTCCTGTTGCAGATGGAAAAACCTCCTTCGTCTTCCCTAGCACTGCAAACCCCAGTCCACCCGCAAAGCTCTCCTGGAGCAGATCCTTGTTCCCCTACCTGTGCCGGGGTTCTCGGGATCCCCGGAGCCATCTTCAGACCCGAAGGACCAAAAGCCGGAGCCCGGAGATGCCATCAGCGCTGTGCGACTGGAGCGGGTCGCCTCCGAGTGCGAACTGTCGGCGAGCTGCCCTCGGCTCGGCTCGCTCTGCGCGCGCGTGCGTGAGTGTGGCGGGAGGAGGGTACCGTGTGGGGACCCGCGCGGCCGTGCGGCAGAGGGTGGGTGTCACACAGGGACAGGAAACGTGCGTGTCTGCGTGTTAGTGCGTGTATGTGTTCTGGGGTTAGGGCTTAGAGACGTGGCTGAGGTGAGATAGGGAGGGAGACCGAAGGGTCCGCGCCGCAGGGATATGGGAAAGCGCCGAGCGCCCGAACTGCTTTTGAAGGGGAAGGAGTCCAATCCGGATGGATGAGGGGGCGGCGGAGAGAAAAAAAAAAAAAAATGGGAGCGGGAGGATGCGAGGCAGACGGTGCTCACGAGCTGGAGTCAGAGCGTGTGGGTGGGAGGCGTGCAGGGGAGCCCCTGGGGAGCGCTAGCCGCAAGCCTGCAGACAGCCCCCGCGGGTCCGGGAGCGCTGTCCAGAGTGCTAACGCGGCCGCCTGCGCGCGGCTTCAGCGAGGGGTAGACCAGACAGACCTTGGCGAGGCGGAGCCGGTGGCCGAACCGAGTCACACACAGGCATCGATTGGCGTATTGTTTGAGATCTGGCTCCTGCTGCCGGGAAGGAGGCGCGATTTCCGCGCCGCCTTCCTCCAAGACGGTGCTGAGGTCGCTGTGACCTCGAGAGTCCCGGCGGCTGGGCTGGAATCAGGAGCGGTTCGTGAGCTTGGGGAGGGGACGGTGGGGGAAGGGCGCCTACGCACTGAAAGCCTCATCTCAGCTCCTGAGTGGAGCCTGACGCCTTCCTACTGAGCCGCGCGGTGCTCAGGAGCGCGTCATTCCCGTGCTTCGGGGAGAGCGGTCGCCGAACCCACCGTCCAGGATCTGAGTGACGGCTGGGAGAAAGACTGCTGATTGAGGCAATTAAAATCCATGCAGGAGCCTATCACCGAGGACCTGGGCTGCGGAAAAAAAATAAATAAAACGAATGGAAACTTCTTGGAGGGGGGCGAGGGAAAACTACTAGAATCAGCAGGCAGGATTGACAGCTGATAGGGTCAGCTGATCGGGTCATTTGGTGACCTTGGCCCGCGGAGGCGTGGAAGGGTTTGCTGCTTCCGTATGACCGGAATCGACGTGTGCGTGGGACGCATGTACAGTTTCCAGCTAAGCAATCTGAGCTTTCCAAATTCAAGGCGGAAAGAAGGCATCGTCTGCTGGGCCTCAAGTCTGCAGGCCTCAAATTGATCATCTCCTCCCCACCCCCAACCCCTCCGGGAATCTTCACGATAGCGGGGGGAGGGTAGTGGGGGCGGCGAGATTCACTATTTCTGAGGCCTGGTGGGAAGGGGTTTCTTCTCTTCTGATAAAGTCAGAATCGCGACTCTCGTACAATATCCTTTACGTTAAAAGCTGTTAAACAAAGGGAAGACGCCCTGAGACATTTGGGGCGCGTTGAGTTCGCGCTGCTTCTCTTGGTAGCGGAGATCAGCGTCACGCACATCTTGCGGCTTCTGGGCTCTGAGAGACAGGCCGAGGAAGACCCTGGAAAGGCTGCGTCCTGCCTTCCGCCGCGTGCATTCCCTTGAGCGAACGTTTTTCATTTCCATTCTGTTCAGAAGCCCTCATTTCTCTGCTCTCCTCAATCAAGTTACCAAAGCCGCTGCCAAAGCAGAGACTCACGGATCCTCTCTTGGCCACAGCCCTTCGATCCTCGCTTAGGGAGGGCGTCGTGGGGCCTGCGTGGCCGCATTCAAGCCCAAGTCCTACGTCCCAGGCACACGGGGGCCTGGTAAAGTCTTTCCACGAAGCTTTGTCTTCTTTCGTGCGCGGGAGAGGAGGGGCACCAGGATCCAAACCCCTGCCCCCGAGTGTTGTCAGGGAAGGGCGCTGGCCAAGGTCCTGCCGTAGACTTGTTGCAAAGTCGGCTGTGTCGGGAAGCCTGCCTCCGGCCGCAGGCGCTTAGTGGGCATGGACCCAGGCCTCAGTGTGGCCACCTTCTCCGGAGCTCTCGGCTTCAGAGGACCCAGGTTACAACGCCAGGGTGTAAAGACTCCGTGGTTCAGCCGTTTGCGCGCGGGCAGGGCAGCTGCGCGGCTCTCGCTCCAGCAGTCGGAGAGATCAGTTCTTTGTTTAAATCCACACCAAATCCTGCAATGTTTTGCTTCAACCCAGAACGCTGGGGTTGCAGAACTTCTCTGCAATGGGTAAGTGGTCGAAGACATAAAGATTCTTTAAAACAAGCTTTTAAAACACTCACAAAGCCCCGAAGGAAGAAACGGATTAAAACACAGGGAAGGTAGAAACCACAACACCTGTACTTAACATAATTTTTTTTTTTTTAACGCGGCATAAAATCCCACTGTTTAAACTCAATTAAATCCCATAGCTCTGGAGTACTTTGAATCTAATGGTGGTATTTAGATTTTTTATTTAACACACCCTACTTCGCTGCACTCAGGGATCTGATTTGTCTTCCCTTAACGTGGTCCCTCCCTAGACAGCAATTTGCTTCATAAAGACTTTGATTTTGTAAAGGAGCCCACTCCCCCCACTCTTGGGCTTGGCACTGGAGATAACAAAAGAGCTCAGCGAGGTAATAATTACAGTCATTAGTTCACAAAGGAGGCAGCCACAGAATGGGAAGTGGGGGGGGGCAGCACTCTGGGGAAAAGCTTTTGAAGCCTCTTTCTCAGCAGGGGTCGAGAGACCCAAGCTCCGGGTGCTGCTCTCCTGGGCAGGTTTCCTGGTTTGACCTATTTTTTTGTCCGTGGGTTATCCAGAGATCGCACTGCAGGTCTCCCAAAGAAGAATGTCTGTTACAAGTTTTCCCTTGAGTCTTCCCAGGGCCCAAATGTCAAAGGACAGAAAAAGGGAGATGGAAAGAGAGAAAAAGAAAAAGGAGAGAAAACAAAGAAATACCAAAGAAAAAAAGGGAAATAAAAACACTGAAACCTTTCACTGTGTGTTTGCGATTCCCTTTTTCAGTTCCACTGAAAAGGGGGTGGAGAGTTTAGGGAGGGCGTCTATTGCCTCCCAGTCCAGTGACGGAGGGGCTGGGCTCCAGGTCTCTGGTCCACTGTGGGCCACCTCAGAAGCTTGAAGAGGCCTGGTAGCGTATCAGCGGAGCTCAGCTTTTTCCCCCATCTGGGTGGAAAAAACCATCCCGGTGGTGGGTGGATGCGTGGGTTGGGGTTGTGGGAACTGGATTCACGTCGCATTCCAGAATCTCTCCCCTCCTTGACAGTGGGCAGCGCGCCCTCGCGCTGGTTTCACTGATGCCTGTGTTAGGCCCAGCCTGCAGCCTGTCACAACAGCTGTCACCCCAAGGGCTGACCCCCGAGCGGAGGCGGCAACCAGAACCTAGAGAAGGAGCAGGACCTACAGTGCACTTGAACTCTGAGCTCTGCTCTGCCACAGCGGGAGGCTTCCCCTGGAGCTGGTCTCATTTGTAAAGTGAGGAGGCTGACCGAGTTATCTTTCGGGGGACTTTTTGGCCTCAGCATTTTGGGTTGGAGAGTACCTTACATCTGGTGGGCGAGCTTCGCAACAAACACTCACCTGCCCTCACTCCATCCTCCAAAAATTTCCCCCAAGTCTCCTGGTTCTGGGCCGCAGGTGCAACATACCCCATACCCCAAACCCATCTCCCAATTCTGTCCTCCTGAAATCATCTCACCATCCTTCCTGACGCTCTTCAGACAGTGTAGACACGGACGGTGTCAGTGCCATAGAAGAGCTCACCCAGGTTTTAAAATGAGATGCAGTCAACTGGGGAAGGCAAATCTCTGCCCACCCGTTGCCCTCTCCTCTCTCTTAAATACACCAAAATTCGGAGCCGAGGAGATTGCCTTAAATCTGCAGACTAGGAGAACCTAAAAAACTTGACAGTTGGCTCAATGGGGCTAAAGGTGTGTGTGCCAACGCGCAGTGTGGAGTGATTTGGGGGATCGTCCGGAGGCCAAGTTTGGGTGGCAAGACCTGGGTTTTAACGTAGATGGTATATTTGTTTGGGAGGGTTGGAGACGGGGGCTGTTCGCTGGAGACAGGCACCGTCGCCCCCCTGCCTGGGCACCTGCACCCGCGCAGCTGGACGGGAGCTGTCCAGTCCTAAAGGGGAATATCTGTGGACCAGCCCCGAAAGCCACGGACTTTCCAAGGCACTTCCTTTATTTAATAACCGCGGTAACCGCGGGAAGGGAAAGCGCGAGTGTGAGATGAAGTTCCATCTTCAAAGCTTCCCCCGCCCTCGCCCCTCCTCCCACCTGGGCTTTGTTTTGCTCGCCCCTCGAGTGTCCCGCGGGCCTGGGAGAGCCGTTTCCAAGGGAAAAGAAATCTGTGAAGTCAAGCAAAACAACGGGGAGGGATCGGCGAGAGCTCAGGCGCAGTCGGGTCCACAGGAGTTGCAAATGAGTGAACAAAGAGATACACGGGGGGCCAGGGACTGGGATGCCCCGACTGGCGAGCTGGTGGGAGTGGAGGGTGCCGGAGCGAGGGGACACGGCGGCCGAAGAACTCTCACTTCTCCGCCTTCTAAGAGTTGGGCCAGGCACTCGAGGGGCGAGGGCAGCGGGCAGCCCGTGCCAGGGTCAGGGCCTAGGCTTCAGCTCCCTGTGGTGCTAGCGTCCGAGGGTCTCCCGCTTTGGCCCCTGCAAAGCCCCGCAGTCTGCGCACATTCCCATGGGGTGGCCCCCGGAACAGCCGGACTACACCTGCTGCACGAGGCGCTGCCGCTGGGAGGTCTTGCGCAGGAGCCTCCTGTAGTCGTAGGGGTTGGCTGCGGAGTCCTTTTCCTCCTGCTCCTGGTTCTCCTGCGCCCAGCACCTGCAGCGAGACCCAGAGTCAGCGGCGCCGCAGGACAGCGCCGCCCCGCCCACCCAGCTAGGCGGTTCCACTCCCCACACCTCCCACCACTGGCCGACAATTAAGAGCCGCACACTCAAAACATCAGGATAGTGGCCGAATGCAACCGCGTAATTTTCTCAGAAGGTTTTCAGTTTTCCCCAAGCAGGTGGGGTAAGCTGGTGACTCTGTCTTCAGATGACAGCTAGGGAAGGCGTCAGAACGTATAGCTGAGAGAGCTCAGCTTCCCTCCGTCTGCAAGAACTCACAACCAATAAACAACTATTTGTTTTAGTACCTTAATTTTCTTTAAACACATTTTGGTCAAGCAGGAAAGTTCAAAGTGCCTAAATAGACAACCATCGTTTTGCAGTTTAAAACCGTTCAAACGTTTCTCTGCAGCACTCCTGCCACATCTGATCCACCATTGATAGCTGGGCGCCCAGTCAGCTCTTTCAAGGAGGATTTTGGGCCACTTTTCCGGAACCTACCCCTGGGAAAGCCTCCCAGCTTTACCTTCAGATTCTGAAACTTGCCTGAGGAAGAAGGTGCTTCCTTACATAACTACACAGATGTATTCATTTACTTATGCCTACTAAGTGTTAGCCATCAGCGTAGGCTAAAGGTGAACTAAAGTCCCCAGGCTCATGGACTTTAATCTACTATGGGAGAGGACCACAGACAATCTTCATGTGCCACGTGGTGAGAGAGGAATGCAGACAAGTAAGGCAGGCTAATGAGATAAGACTGATGCAGTATACAAGCAATTACATTGAGGGTGACCAGGAAAGGCCTCTCTGATAAGGTGACATTTGAGGAGAGACCTGAAGGGAAGAGGAGGGGTGGGGCAGGCAGATCTCTTAGGGAAGAACAGTCATTCCAGGGCAATGGGTCAACCAGTATAAAGGCCCTAAGACTACAGTGTGTATATTGTGTTCTTGGAATTACAAGGAGGCCATTGTGGCTTGAGCAAGGATTGAGAACAGGAGGAATGAAGGGACAACTGGCAAATAATTGAGTGCTTTGGGACCATGGCAAGGATCTGACTTTTACTTAGAGCTAGACAGACATTGGAGGGGTATGAGTGGAGGAATGGTTCATTAAAGGACATGGTTGCTAGAGTAAGTAAAGTAAGGAGGTCTGTTACAAGATATTGCAATGGTCCCAGCCAGACTGATAGCAGCTTGGATGAGGCTTACAGAAGAGGAAAGAACCGATCAGGTTTGAAAGAGTTTGCTAATACATCGGATGTGGGGTGTAAATGAAAGGGATCAAGAAGGTCTCCAAGGTTTTTGGCTTAAAACTGGAAGGATAAAGTTGCCATTTAATGAGAAGGGGAAGGTTATAAGAGGAGTATATTTGGGGGAAAGAGGATAAATATTTTGGTTTTGGTTTTGCAAAGTTTGAGATATTCATTAGATAGTCAAGAGAAGATGATGAATAGGCAGTTGGATATATAAATCCTAATCCAGACTAGAGATTTCAGTTTAGGAATTTTAGGTACAGAGGTGATATTTAAGGTCATGACAGTATGTGTTGATAAAGCAAAGGACTGGGACACTCTTATGAGAAGAGGTCCATGAAATGAGGAGATATCAGCAAAGAAGAATGAGAAGGAGCAGCCTGTGAGGTAGAAGTTAAATCAAAGGAAGTACTGTCTTAAGAGGCCAATGCAGAAAATGAAGAAAATTTCAAAAGAAAAAATGAGAAATGCTTCTGATGGGACAAGATAAGGATTGAGAGTAGATCATGGGATATGGCAGAATTGAAATCATCTTTGACCTTGGTAGGGGCCGTTTCAGTGGTGTGGTGGGGAGGGAATCCTGTGTGCAGTGGCCCATGAGGAATGGGAAGCAGGAACATTGAGGAGGAAGGACTGCTCTCACAGAACTCTTTTTTGCTATCATCAAGAGCAGGAACACGGGGCTTGGAAGGGGGAATGGGTCCAGGGTGTTTTTTTTATGATGGGTCCAACTGCATCAGTTCACAGACTGTCGTAAATGGTGCCGTAAAGAGGAAAAACACTCAAGATGCAGAAGAGGGAGGGGACAGCTGGAGGACAATGTTCTTGATAGATGGAAGGACCTGGATTCAGGGCACAACAGGAATGTCTGACCTTAGATAGGACAACAGACGTCTTCCGTAGTAAGCTGAGGGAAGTCTACGGACAAGTGGTAGATTTGGCGGTGACAGTGTGTGTCTGTTCTCTATTATTTCCCAGTAATATAGGAAAGAAGGTGAAAGCAAGGAGGTTTTGAAGGCTTGAGGAGAGAGGAAGGGGTCTGAAAGAGTGGACTGGGAAAGTGGCACAGCGGAATTTTAGGGAAATATTGCAAAATAACTCTAAGGGCCTGCCCCTGGAGTGCACTCATGTAACTTGAGTGTTTTTCTCTAGGCATGTACAACTGTGTAGGTGCAGGGATGGATTGGGTAGAAAGTTGGGTTTGCCCAGTGCTGGGGTATGTCGGTTGACTATAACTGAGGGAGAAAAGGGTCACTGAAGGTATATGCAAAGCAGTGAAAATAATAATGAAAGGATAGGGCTAGACTTCTGCTTGTAGATGAACATGCTGTTACTCTGGTCCATTCTGAATAAGAAACTGTAAAAGAAGACACCTTTGGGAAGGTCTTTAGGGCATCTTGAGCTCAGCGGGTACTTGACAAGGAAGGTCTTGGGTAGCATCATCATGGGCATCTACGGGGCAGGTGATCATTCTCCTCTGATTAACTGACTTGAATTCTCATGCCTATTCAGCTCATTTCTCTTATGAGAATATTGAGTATCAACCCTCTGCTAGGTACACCAGACACATTATCTCGAATTCTAAGGACAGCTTGGCAAGACCTGAGGTTCTCCTTAGCCTTGATCTGCATATGAGGAAACAGACCAGTTCTACCTGATAGAGCCAGTGAGGAGTGGAGTGAGGGTTCAAATCCACAGCCACACCACTCAGATCTCATACCTTCCCCACTGTATTCCTCTGTCTCTTTGCTGCTGGTGCTTCCTTCATGATTTTCCTATCCCTTAACCAAGGCACTCTTGTTCCAGTTTACTCCCCCTGCCCCCAGCCATCCTCGCTGTAGATCTTTGTTATAATGACAACCTGGCTATGCCTTCAAAACCCCACCTCTCTCATTATTGCTCAACACAGACCCCACTAAGACCCACCTTAGGAGGACAGGAGGGGACATCAGTTTTCTTGTCTTCTAATGACATTCTCTAATCACTACCTGCTACTGCTTTTACTCATTTAAAATCCAGGAGACTCTCAACTTCATCACTGCTGTGGTCCCTGATTCCCAGACCCACTCATACCTTCCTGGGTGACATTAGTACCTGGCGTGTATGTGTGGGCACATATTCAATATATGACATGTAAAGTATTATCAGAAAAATATATTCATAAGTATATAAAATACTTATTTATATATAAGATATATGTTTGTCACAATAATTTAATGTATATAATAATTATATATATATAATAATTATATATATATTCTTTCTGCAATAATATCTTCCAATATAAGTCTGATGCCAAGTTTCTCTGTCCCCAAATGTCTTTTAGAGCTATTTTTTCTGTTTTTTATTTTCTATTTTATTTGTTTGTTTGTTTTAGAGGTAGAATTCAGTGATTCACCAGGTACATATGACACCCAGTGCTCATTACATCAATTGTTTTCTATTTTAAATCCAAGATCCCATCAAAGTTTACTCAAGGCACTTGTAGTTTTATCTTTTTAGTCTTCCTTAGCTCAGAAAAATCCCTTCTTGGAATTACCTTGTTTGATCATTTACTCTCTCTGTGGAGTCAAGCTCCTCGGTGATAAGGATGGCTTTGTGTGCCCCGCTGTGTCCACACCTTCCTCAAGCACGCAGCACAGGGCTTTGAACGTGGAGACAATAGAGTAGTGATCCAAGTTGTTGACTTGAAACTCCAAAAGGCCTGTGTTCAAATCATGGTTCCTTCACTTTCTATCTGGGTGACTTTGCAGTCGTTAAACGTTGTCGGCTTAGTGTCCTCATCTCTAATATGGAGTGCTAAGAGGTACTGACTCACAAGTTTGCTGTGAGGGTTAAATAGCTGAACAGCATAGTGTCCAGGTCAAAGGAAGCACTCAGCCAATGGAAGCTTCTAGCATTCTCATTCTAGTGAGTATTAACTACACACCCACAGACATCGCTGGAACCCCAGGCTGTATTTCAGGGACCTAATGCTTTTACAGTAGGTGTGTGTCTGTCGTTGGGGGAGGGGGAAAAAGAATATACTAGAGAGGAGGCAGATTCGGTTGTTAAAATGGGAAGCTGGTAAGTCAGTGGAAAACAATTTGAGCAAGAAGTGAAAAACCTTGGATTTTAGTTCACCAACACAATGTGTAGTTTGGAGCCAGTCACTTAATCTTTCTGGGCACTTGTGCAGAACCCTGTGACTAGACTAAATTCTAAGCTGCACCAGTATGTTACAGGTCTTGACCTCAAGATGCAAGACGCACATCTCCTTTTGGAGACAAGGGGCAGAAATCAAATAGATTATGGAAAACCAAATAAAGATGAAGAGAGCCACCATCCATGGAACCTCTCCCCAATGCCACATGTCCTTCCCATTTTGCTTAATCTTTATGACAATGTGGTGAGACAGTTATGAGTGAATCCTTTTCCAGATGTGGAAACAAGCCTCGACAGGTCTGGTACTATGAGCAAGGTCCCTCAACTACCAAGTGGCAGAATCAGGATCCAAATCTAAGACCCACTGACTCTAAAACCTCTTGTCTTAACTACCAGGTCATACTGTATAAAAGAGATGGGGAGGGTTGTGAGTGCCCAAGGCTCACGGGAGCTTGACTTAGGATTTTGGAAGAACAGCTTCCCATAGGCTGTCATTACTTCCTTGTATACCACATTTCCATTTTACTTTGTGCCCTCAATTTCAAAAATTCACAAAGAATTTTTTGGAGGAAAAAATTCCCAAAGTAGTAAGTAAGCTACATATGGTCTAAGTAAGATATTTCGTGTCAAACAAAGTTAGAGGCGAACTGCGAAATCAAGTCCAAAACACGCATTTCGGGGCACCTGGGTGGCTGGCTCAGTTCAGTGTCTGCCTTCAGCTCAGCTCATGATCTCCAGGTCCTGGGATCAAGCCCTGCACAGGGCTCCCTGATCAGCAGGGAGTCTGCTTTGCTCTCTGTCTCTCCCCCTTTGCACCTCCCTTCCGCTCGTTCTCTCTCTCAAATAAATAAAATCTTCTAAACCCTCCCCCAATCCCACATATTTCTATATGAATCTCTCTTCCAGGTATTATTTTGGTCTGATGTCACGGATTCTGAGAAATTACGCAGCATAACTGGGAAGCAAATAAGAGTTTAAGATTACAAGATCTTAAGTAAGTTCTGGTTAGAACTTAAACACAGATCTTGGATGTGGTTTATTGCTTGTAATCAGTATGACCATTTAATTTATCATCCAAAGTGAGGTATTTCTTAAATTAAAAATTTTTTTTTAAAAAAGATTTGTTTATTTATCTGAAAGAGAGAGAGAGCACGCGTGCACATGCAAGTTGGGGAAGGGGCAGAGGGAGAGAATCTTCAAGCAGACTCTCAGCTGAGCACAGAGCCCAAAAGCCCATGGGATCATGACTTGAGCTGAAATCAAGAGCCACCCAGGTACCCCTAAAGTGAGTTACTTTTAAGAGAGGGTGCTATTAACAATGACACCAAGAAAATAGGTATGAAACTGGGTTGTCTGAACACCTACCATAATCCTTGAGTTTACTTTTAAACAATGCATCAGTCTTAAGAGGCAGTATTCAGTGAGAACATTTTGCTCTAATCCAAACAAACACAATGGCAGTGCTTTAGAAATGGAATTGGGAGTAAACTGTGGAGAAGGCTCGTTCTTCAGGAGGTTACTTATTACCTTTCGTTAGCATTAAAACCTTGATGCTGGTGTTCTCCCTGTTGTCTTCCTTCTCTTAAACCAGGGTTATGTTCCTTTGGTGCCGAAGGACTGGGCAAAAATTCCTTATAATAGAAATCTTCCAGGTCTAATAATTTTCCCTGACTGTAAATAAACACATAAACACATCATAGTTTCAGTCTACTTTTCTACTCAATCTTACAGGATACTGGTTTTCTTCTTTTATCTTGTATAATTTAGGAGTAACACATCCATGCCAACAGAAACAAGAGGAGTCTTGGAATGCATACAACAGTATAAACCATAAATTAAGGAGAAAAAAAGAAACCCTCATCTCTCACCTTTACGAGAACATTAGCTGCTAGAGCAGGTTTTCCTGGCTTCATCTCATTCTCCTTGGCACAAAACTAGAAGCTGCTAGACAGCCAGTGACTGCAAAGTTCTTGTTTGGCCAGTCTAGGGCAGGTTCACAACTGACCCTTGGGACAGTCTGAGAAAAGCTAACCTTTAGGTGCCAACACACAGCATCTTCCAATTTTCTCAGCCATCCGTTAAGTACAATGATGACAGCGTTTCATGATCTCACCTTACTTCCTTCATAGGTTACTTTCTGTCCTCTCCTTACGGTTGGCCTGTAGTGGGCTAATTTTTGTGCTAAATTTTAATTCCCGCACATGATACACACACGGGTGTGTGTGACCATCACAATTCTTGGATTTACCCATACTAGTTCTGGTTCCTGTGGTGCTCAGTCCCTATAGTCTGATGGGACTTCATACGAGGTAAACAGGTAGAGGTCTGGAAGACGACCACATGTTACAGTGTTTCTGGGGCAAAGTGCTTTTCCAGCGACAGATACCGATTTACAAATGAACTTTCAGAATGCCACTGATGCATAAGTCAAGTGCTCAGTGTCCACTGGTGCTTAATAGAAGAACCCTCGATTGTTCTAAGCACTCTCTGGAAGTCAGTTAATTGCAATAAGGTTTTAACATTAAAATGCAAAAGTACCGGTGGGCTGAAACGTTACAGGAAAAGGGGACTGCTGTGAGTCTAAGCTGCCACAGGTGAGACAAACCTTATTTCCTGACAGATCCATAAACAGTACAAGGAGTGAGATTTAGCATGTGTTGAAGGACAAAAAGCAAAGGAGTTTGGGAAAAGAAAGTTCAGGGACACAAGCATGTTCAAATTGTCTGATCAAAACCATGTCAACGGACGAAGAAAAGCAAATTCTGTATTGGGACAATACAATTCATTCATAAACTACTGGAGTTCTTAATGTATGCCTTGTACTGTGCTAGCTCAATATATTTCCAATAGGTAAGATGATCTTCTAAATGACATATAAAGCATATGTTTATAATAAAAGTAAGTGTATTGAGAGGATCTACTTCCCAAATCTATCCACATAAGACAGATGATTTTTTTAAAGGGGGAGTGTCAATCGTAATTTGAACATATGGAATTATATTTTGGTTTGATGACACTGAAATCTAGAAATAATAATTTACCTATCTTTCCTTGGTCTTCGTTTTTCTTCTTGGATTGACTTCTAAAAGGAACAGAAAAAAATTAAATCAATAAAAAAATTAAAAATCAATAATAGAACTAAAATAATGTAATCAATAGAAAATAATTGATATATTTATTATAATCTTAACATATAAATATATTTGTTCCTATAAAGCCAACTTAGAAAGAAGCAAGTGGATACAGTGTTTTAAAAATCGAATGAAATACAATTCACTCAAAATTTGCCAATTATGAATTTGTGATTATATTTTACCAGGCCTGGACTGTAATTAATCTTTGCATTCCATGCCCAAAAAAGAGTTTACTGCATAGTGGCCAATTACAAGATTACCTAAGATTACCTAAGGTCCATCTACCTACCAATGAGAAAACATGTATCAGAATTCCTGGAAAACCCGTCTATGACACATACAGTGGGACAACACATACAGTGAGTTAGGCAGGTTGATTCCTTTGAAGTCTTGTTTCTATGTCATTGTTGTCCACTGGCAAAGCAGATGAGTGGACAGTGAAGGCAGGTGTAACAGTTCACAAAAGAATGGAAGTGTGACTTCACTAACCCATAGAAGCCCATTTATGGCATAAAAGTAAGAGCACAGATGATATATGTGTTCATTTGCAAAATTTTCTCCCAGTTGAAAACTTGGTGTATCAAGGCACAAATCGTAATATGTAAGCCTGGATTTAATTAGATACATTTTAATCAAAACCTCAGTCTGAACTCTAAGGAAAGGTACTTCATTTTACTTTACACACAAAGCAATATCACCTTTTGAACTGTAACACCAGTAATGTGTTTCATTATGTGTGCCAGTGCAAGGTATCTGGACTCACCTACTTACATGTTGCAAGAACCTGCCTGACTTTTAGGCTGAGACAACAAATAGCACTCACCTTGAACAAGCTAAAGATACTGCACTCTTCATCATGAAGACGGAAGCGAATTGTCCCTCAAGGGAGTGGCCTTAATACTAATTTTATTTATGCAAATATTAAGTCACACCATAAAAATTCAAGACAACAAAAATGGCAAATAACAATTGTTTGTAAATATTGAGGGTTGTCCCTAGTATTTTTAGGCACACTAAATCATTTATTTTTCTTATGATTTATCATTGGTAGTACACTAAAACGTCAGATGAGTCAAACAGTTCATAGTTTCATCTCTTCTTGGTTAGTATTTTAGTGGGTGGAGGAGGTAGAAGGGAATGCTTAAATGTATCAAGTCTGGGAGCGGACTATTTAAGGAGTGACCACGTAAGGGCAGGAGACCAATTACATCCCTGTCCTCCTTCCCATTTCCTATTACTGTCTTGATCTGATGTCCTAGGACAGGAGGTGCTCACAAATAATTATACTGCCACTGCCATAGGTACAATGGCCTCCAAGTGAAAGATCCCTGCACCCCAGGTGGTGTTTTTTGGGGTTGTTGTTGTCCTAATATGACAAAGGTCCTGTCTCCTTGATCCATTATTTGAAAAGATGTCCCTTGTTCTTGGTAACCATTTTCTATAACCCAAAGTTATGCTTAACTTTGGTTATGCAATAGTATGGCATTCTGGTGAGTGATGGAGATCCCCTTTACACTACCACGAATCAAATAACCTTCTGGCTCTGAATTCTGAACCTGGAGATGACCCCTTTTTATTCAGGATCTGCATTTCCCTCTGGGAGGTGGTGTATATAATTTGGTTCTCAGTTACAGGAATTCTTAGTAGAGGGAATACCATTCAGGCTTATGCTTATATTTCACTCTTGGCCGTGCTAGAATATTCTAGTGAATTATCACTCGATACTTTATTTTTTCTAAAAATTACTTAAGGTGGTTTACCATGGAAGCAATTACACAAGCAAGGTAATAAAGTGGAAATTGTAAATAAGGAACAAAGAGGCCAAAAGTGTTAGGATGGAGACTTATGTTTGTCCCTCGGTGTCCTGGCAGCTGGAGCCAAAAGGGACACATGAAACCGCACTCTTCATCATGAAGACGGAAGCGAATTGTCCCTCAAGGGAGTGGCCTTAATACTAATTTTATCACCTGGAGTTTGTATTAGTGGCATTTATTTAAAACAAACAATGTTTTCAACAATAGTTCTAAAATGACAAATCACTAACTTGAAATTTGAAATGAAAAGAAAGAAGCAAATGTCCAGTGGCAGTTTCTTGCAGAGCTAGAGTAAAGAAGGGAGTGCAAGATGGAGATAAAGATGGTGCAAGGAGCAGATGTTCTGGGGAGGCTAATTCTTGAGGAGGTCTTTGGAAGAGGGAGGCCTTTGCTTAAAGGACTCTCAAGAATCTGTCCTCAGTCAGCTACACTACAACCCCTCCTCAGAATTTTAAAATTCATATCCATCACATTATGGTGGACACAATCTTACATTCCTTTTGGAAATACACAAACTCTTTATTTACTTAGATGGCTTCACAAGGGTGAAGAAGGAGCCAAAATGAAGAAGGAAAAAAACCACATCCCAACACCCAAACTACCTATTTCTCTTACCTACTTACTAGTTTAGGGAAGGTACTAGAGAATAATAAAACCGGAAGGACCTTTGAAGTGACTGTGTTTAGTTCCTCAGTTTTGTAAGAAACTTCTGCTGATGGCTGCACAGCTGAGTACCAGAAACAACAGGGTGTGTGTGCTCAGCTCACTCTGATTTTGGACACAAAAATAGCAATGTTTCAGGGGAGCCTGTGTGGCTCAGTCAGTTAAGCATTAACTCTTAATTTCGGCTCAGGTCATGATCTCAGGGTCCAGAGATTGAGCCCCGTGTGGGGCTCCCTACTCGACGGAGTCTGCTTCTCTCTCTTTCCCCCACTCCCTCTGCCCTTCCCCCTGCTCCTACTCATGCCTTTCTCTCTAAAATAAACAAATCTTTAACAAAGTAGCAATGTTTCCTAGATGTAAGAGATTAAGAGCCTCACATCATAGAAGACAGCTGGTATTGGTTTCGGGTAGTCAGAATGACCATGGAAAGAAGGAACCTCTAAGGAGAAACAAGAACTATAGGAAAAGGTGAAACAACGGGGGCACAGAGCTCTTTGTGTGGGGAGGGGCAGGGGCTTGAATCCCATTGCTTAGCAGAGGGGCTGTAACTGCTAGTGAATTCCTGCCTTCATAGAGCACATAGTCTGGAGTGGAGAGGCAGACAGGAGGAGAGAACACGTATATTTCTTCATTTCTGAAGAAAATGAAGCAGGGCCAGGAGAATACAGAGAGATGGGATGCTACCTCGTAAATCTAAATAAATACAACAATTTTTGCCTCAGTGGCCTTGGGTCATGAAGAAAAGGTTTACAGTGTGTAGTATAATTTAGAAAGAGTATCATAAAAACCATTTCAAATTACAGGCAGTGTTTTTGTTTTTGTTTTTGGAAACAGATCTTTTATTATGTGTGAATCATGAATTCATGTTCCTCCTTCAATTCAAATGCTTTACCGGAAGTGTCTATAAAGCATAATCTTCACTTATCACATACCTCATTCCCTAGAGCCACATTCCTTGTGTCTGTGGGTGTCTCTATGTGGTTTGGTTGTTTCTTATATGAGGAGGGGGTTAGGCATGGCAGTTTTGGGGGGGTTTCCAATGCCATAACCATTGCTTTCTTTTTCAGGAACTATACCCAAATCTTTGCTTCATTTTCCTCAACAGAAATGAGGTGCTTCATTTGTATTTTATGTCTTCTCTTTTTTGGATGCAGTTGGTCATACTACATATAATAAAGAATACAACTCTTCTAAAGTCTTGAAATTTATAGCTCGCACAATCCTGTACTACATCCCATTCCATCCTCTGGAAGAAGTAGACCATGGTGCTCTCCATCAGTAAGCCACTCAAGATGGCCCCAAGGAGAGCTTTCAGTTGATCTTCAGGGTCAATTTAATTGTCTGAAAATTTGATCATGTTCCCAAATGACAGCTGGAAGCAGTAAGAGTTTTCCACAGCTAGATAATAATAATAATAATAATAATGCTTTCAACAACAAAATGAAGTTGAGGGTTTTTTTTTTTTTTTCTTCCCTGCTGTCATCGTTCTTTCTACCCACAGGAAAGTAAAAATGCCAACCAAAAAAGGCAGTTTGTTCCAGAGAAGCAACTGCAAACATGTTGGAGAAATCCAATTTCTTGGTATTTCCGATGAAATCGTCAGGTTCGGTGCTCTGGTTTGAATCTTGCAGCCGCCACCACCTTAGGAATGCTTCACAAAGCAAACAAAATGTGCAGAGTTTTTCCTGCATGTTTGTTTTAGTATTGAAAAGAAGATGCCTCTAAGGCCTGGGCTTTGCATAAAATAGCATTAATCAGGGACGCCTGGGTGGCTCAGTTGGTTGGACGACTGCTTTCAGCTCAGGTCATGATCCTGGAGTCCCGGGATCGAGTCCCGCATTGGGCTCCCAGCTCCACGGGGAGTCTGCTTCTCCCTCTGACCTTCTCGTCGCTCATGCTCTCTCTCACTGCCTCTCTCTCAAATAAATAAATAAAATCTTTAAAAAAAATAGCATTAATCAAGATGATAACAGGATCATACTTGATACATTCTGTCTACAGGTTTTGTGGTAGGATTTGCCGACGGTTATCTTCACTCCACAGTTACCATCTTGGAAAAACTCCTTGGCCCCCTGGTTGCATTCAATGCACTTGTACTGGCAGAGGCCAAAGCATTCATGGCAATGGCTGCCTCCCCCTCTGTGTTCCCCTTGCCCGGTAGTTACCACTCCACCTACTGGAGCCCACTTCCATGCAATTACAGCCAACCTAAAATTCCAGAAAGTGTTTTCCCAGTTAAAGCATGTGGGTCACACATCTAGAGCTATAGATTCCACTCTGCGTCATGCCCCAAATTTGGGTAAGGGCCAGATAAAAGTGACCATGTCGTATGTTGTTGCTTATACTAATATCCTGGGTTTCTGCGCTTTATTTTTCATGGAAGCCACAGATTTCAAGACTTAGGGTTATAAAAAGAATTCAAGTCCTTAATAGTTGAAGAGGTATTAAACCCTCTACATTGATTTTAAAAAGAGTAATAGGAAAGCAAAGTCAACTTCTGGAGGGCAGGGACTCATCTGTGAGGGTCAGGATCTGCTGCATGATTCCCGGTGAACAGGCCGTTGTCGGTAACAGACACTGCACCTTATTTCAATCTCTTATCAGCTCTCATGTTGAGAGTGGCATCCGTTGTTGAAGCCCTCATAGTCAATGGTCATTCTGGCCGCAGTTAATAAAGGTCACTGAGCACCCTTTACCACTTCTATTCAGATTTAAGAGGGAACGTCAGGTAATTTCTAATCTTGTTCTCTGCTCTTCTTTCCATTTCACCACATAAACACATGTCAGGCTATGAGCTTCCTTTTGGGGTGGGCAGTGTAGAAAAAAAATCTGTTTTTAAGATTTTCATAACGTAAGAGTCAAATGGAGCTACCTGGAACTTCTGCTTCCTCGATTTACTTCTGACTGCATTTCGCTCACAGTGCTCTGCGCTCGTCTGTACCACAAATATTTATTGCACGCCGACTATGTGTCAAGCTAAACGCAACAGGCAAACTCCTTGACCTCATGGAAACCTCATGGAGCTCCTTTGGGATTTGGGAGTATCAGGAAGGCTTCCTGAAGAAAAAGATATCGAGGCTGGGGTATTTTGTCCCCATAAGGCAAGAACAGAAAAAGGAATTGGTTCTGGGCCGAGGACAGAGCATGTCCAGGGACAGCTGCCTACTGACAACGTGAAGCTCAGGTACAGGTTAATGAGAGGGAATGGCTGGAGAGGAGAGAAAAAAGGGGTGAATGAATGTCAGGGGCTGAGGCCGGGAAGGTAGGCAGGGCCCTGGTGTTGACCAGCCCTTCTATCATAGGACACTAGGAAGTCATTACGAGGTTTTCCATCAGAGAGTGGTGTGACCAGATGTTAATTTTAGAAACCCAACTGTACAGTGTGAAAGATGCATTAATGAGAAGGGGAGCAAAACAAGAGAACTGAGGGGGAGGACAGATGCAGAAATATCAGCTGGGAATGCTGGGCTCATGGTGTGGAGAGAAACAGTAATTCAGGAGATATTTGAGAGGTAGGTTTTTGGATATGAGATGAGAAAGGGGGATGGGTCAGGATTTTATTCTGATTGCTGTTTTGTAAAAAGAGCTGGTTGTTCATTCACAGGGACCATGTGTCACACATTTCTATTTATATGAAATGTTCAGAACATAGATTATAGATTAGTGGTTGCCTAGGGCTGGAGGGAAGGGATGGGGAATGACTATTAATGGGTATAGAGTTTCTTTTTGGGGTGATGAAAATATTCTAAAACTGATTATGGTGATGGCTATACAACTCTGAATATAATGAAAACCATTTTATTATATATTTTAGGTGGGCGAATTTATGGTATATGACATATCTCAGTAAAGCTGTGTGTGTGTGTGTGTGTGTGTGTGTGCATATCCATGTACAGTATGTAAGACAAACACTAGCCAGTTTGAGATCTGAGTGTAGAGCTTGAGAGAGATCTGGCTAGAGGTGAAGATTTGGGAATCGGTAGTAACTGAGGTCATGAGATTGTCCAAAGGTAATGAGAGGAGAAGAGAGCCTAAGGTTGAGTGCTAGGCAACACCAATGTGGAAGGGGAGCCTTCCAAAGACACTGGAGAGAAACCCCTAGAAAGAAGAGAGGACTAGGAGGCTGTTTGACTTGGAAATCAAGTGGGAGCTCTATTTTCTGCCGAAAAGCTAGGAAAAATTCCAATGGATGGGAAGCATTCTCTGGGTGTGGAGGGAGAATCCTTGCTCTCTCCTTGTGGCAGTGGGGGTGGAAGAGGGAATAAGCATGGCAGAGGGAAGGATCAGCAGGTGCAAAGGTCTAAGGGACGTGAGAGGAGAAAGCCATGGCTGTCGGGATTTCCGGCAGTCAGCCGTGGCTAGTGGACATGGGGCCCAGAGAAGGGGCTGACAAGTAGTCCTGAGGCCCATGAGGAGGGCCCCCAGCATCTGGTCTTCATGCTGAAGGAAGTGCTGAGTTCTCAGAGGCATCAGCAATGGAGGAACTCTCTCACAAGATGGTCTAGAGAAACATTCTGGTAGGGGCTGGAGACGCCAAGATTGGCAGCCTGAAATATTCTAGGTGAGGAACGCAAGTGGTCTAGAGTGTCGCCGCTGGGGTCGGAGACACGGCACGCGTGGGACTGAGCCTCGGCCAGGAGAAGCCCTGCTTTAGGCAACAGATTGGATGTCAGGAATGAGAGAGAAGGCAAGATCCAGGATGATTCCCAGGTTCTTGGTCCGGGTCACTAGTGGATGATGGTGGCATTTCACGGAGAGCAGGAGCAGGAGAGGAAGCGCAGGTTGGCGGATGCGCACAGGGAGTAAGCAGGCGCTGTGCCGTAACCTCTTACTGCACATAGCTAATGACCTGAGCATAGCTGATGACCCCGGCAGCTCTGGGGTGCCTATCTGGGTCTGAGTCCTGACCAGTGAGAGGAGGACACCACCTGAAGGGCTCTTCATAGGATTAGATGTCACAGTGTGTGTGAACACCCCTCTTTCTAGGCCTGGAATTTAAAAGGTGCTTAAGTAAATGTCTCTTTCTTCCTCTTTTCCCTTCTTTTCCTTAAGCTCGCCCTTTGACCAGAGGTGGCTCTCTGGAGAGCTCCTGTTAATGACCGCTTCTCTTTCTGGGTTGGTATTTGCATCTCAGCTCACCTAATGCACGCTCAGAGAAGACTGCTGGAGGACGGGGGGTTTACAGGACTGTGGGGGCAGGCTTGGACCACGATGAAGAGGGGTGTTAGTGGATGCTATGGCTCCCATCTGGTAGTAAGAGTGAGCCACTTACATGTAGCAGGTAATAGTATGTGGAGTCCTCAGGGCTATTTAATGTTTTGGGTTTCCGGGGCCGTCTTGGGGGTCTCAATAATTTTGGCTCTTCTTCTTTAGAGATACCTGCGAGAAAGGTGATCATAAACAAGCATTCAATTACAAGGACTATTATTAAGCAATGTGTTCTTTTGGGGTAAATAAGAAATTATATACATACAACTGGGGCTCAAGCTGGGAGAAAGAGGAAAGACCTTTGTTTCCCCAACCAACCCTTGTCATATCCCTCACCACACATTCTTCTGTTTGGTGGTCTGGGGCTTTGACAGATAAGGGAAAGGAAAGAAGGGGAAGAAAAGAAATGTATAGTTTGGTAATGTGGAATAGCGTACAGAAATTCAGAGGATGATGGGGAGAGGAGTTGAAGCTACTAGAAAATTGTTCAAAAGGGGTATTATGCCAAACATTTAAAGAAGAGTTAATACCTGTTCTTCTCAAACTATTCCAATACATAGAAAAGGAAGGAGAATTTTCAAATTCATTCTATGAGGCCAGCATTACCCTGAGAGCAAAACTGGATAAAGACATCACAAGTAAGAAGAACTACAGGCCAGTATCTCTGATGAACATAGATGCAGAAATACTCCACAAGATACTAGCAAACCGAACCCAACAATACATTGAAGAAAATAACTCACTATGATCAACCCAGGGATTTATTCCTGGGGTTGCATGGGTGGTTCACTAGTCACGAATCAATCAACATGATACATCACATTAATAAAAGAAAGGGTAAGAACCATACGATCATTTCAATAGATACAGAAAGAACAGCTGACAAGGTACACACGTATTCATGATAAAAACCTTCAACAAAGTAGGTTTTGAGGGCACATACCTGAACATAATAAAGGCCATGTATGAAAAACTCACAGCTAATATCCTCGATAGGGAAAAACTGAGAGTTTTCCTCCAAAGTCAGGAAGAAGACAGGGATGTACATCCTCACCACTTTTACTCAACATGGTCCTGGAGGTCCTAGCCTCAGCATTAGACAACAAAAAGGAATAAAAGGCATCTAAATGGGCAAAGAAGAAGTAAGACTTTCACTCTTTGCAAGGTGACAGGACACCCTACATAGAAAACACAAAAGACTCTGCTAAAAACATGCTGGACCTGATAATTCCATAAAGTCTCAGCTTACAAACTCAATGCACAGAAATCCATCCAAGCCGTGCTCCATCCAATCTCTACCTCAAGGACCATCTCCTAATTTGTGCCCGAATAAGAACACTGCTCATTTGCAGGCTCGACTCCCTTCTAAATGTAGAACCTCAAGCTATTAGGGTCTTCAGACCTGGCTTTAAAAACCTTCACCAAGAAAAGAATAAAGTTTGTCGTCATCTTCTGCTCTTTTTTCAATGTAGCCAAGTTCTTAAAGCTGCAGCAGCATCTTTAGTTTCTGACGTCCTGTGCACTGGGTTGGTAGTGCTCGTCACACGTGGCTTTACATTTACAGAGCCAATGGGCATCTCAGCAAGTATTTGTCTGTTTGTCATGATTCATGACCACTGCATCTCCTGACTGCTTTTGTGCAGAAATGTCTGTTCAATGGATACATCAAGATCAAGATCAAGATCAGGGTGGGAACAGGGTAGGGGTGCTTATTGGAGAATGACTTATATTCAACTTACATCTGACCATATGTTTGTTGGCTGGACTTTAAAGGCAATAATAGATCATGACTTTGTGTAATAAAGGGGAAGGGATGGATTCCTCATCTACATGTAGAAATAGACAGAGAAACTGAATTTCTCCAAACCATACTAACCAACTCAAGTCAAAGAGAATCAAATCAATGAATATCTCTACTATGTGTAAATAACCACAACTGGTAGTGCAAACCAGTTTCAACCAGGATAGAGACTCGAGGTTGTCTAACTTTCTAGTCTCATGCCCAGTCCACTAGGTGGACGTGCTTATCACAATGACATTCATATTCTCACATAATCTAGCTCAATCACTTCAGAATCTATGAGAAACTACTGGATGGCAAAGATAGATCAGCGAGCTGGGAGTACTTTATAGACATGTAATGCATGGAACAATCAGAGACAACCCCAGAAATCATACATTCTTTTTTGAATAAGAACAAAGAAAATGAGATCTTCGTTAAGGAGACCCTGTTAATAGACATCAGTGATAGGAAGGGTGAAAGCCCTTTCCCAACTAATCTCTGGAGATTTGTCTCCTGTTCTCTCTCTCCGTTCCTCTCTACAGGGATAGAAAAAGGAGTGGAGGGAATCCAAGTATCTGAGCCCTTTCGGATCCTGTCTTAGATTTTCACAAACACCAGGAAAGATGATAAAAGCTGGATTCTTGCCGCCAGCATAAATAGTGGTCTTTTAGTTTTTTCTTTCTCCTGCTTATCATCTCTCAGTGCTTATTAAAAAGCTTCTATGGCTCTTGCAAAGTCTTATCATTGTAAAATGTTTTGGTTTCATCCTCTTATGTTTTTCATTTGAATCTGAATGGGAAGAAACAAACATATGGTATGAAGATATTGTTTTTAGAAGCATGAAACTGCCCTGTGACTAAATTTTAACTTGACTTTATTTACTTATTTTTAAAAGGTTTTATTTATTTATTTGAGAGACAGATACATATAGATATATAGAGAGAGAAAGAGAGAGAGAGAGAGAGAGAGCAGGAGCAGGGGCAGCGGCAGAGGGAGAGGAGAAGCAGACTCTCTACTGAGCAGAAAGCCCGATGTGGGACTTGATCCCAGAACCCTGAGATCATGGTCTGAGCTGAAAGCAGATACTTAACCAACTGAGCCACCCAGGTGCCCTAACTTGATTTTAATGTTAAAGTCTGAATTAAAATATCGGGGTTTTACTATTGTAACAGAAGTTAAGTAAGCAGAAGGTGGCAGAGAATCTGAATAAAGGCCAGGAGAGTGGAAAACAAAACCAGTTCTGGCAATAAAGAGAGACCTGCTCTTGTCTCCACTGTCTCATCAAAGGTTCCCCCATTCAATCTCATTTCTATTACCCAGACTATTGAAACTGCCTTCTACAAAGTCAAGGGTGACCACTTTATTGACAAATACAAAGGCCCTTTATCTGTCCCTCAATGGCTGACTTCATCATTTAACATTATCGACCACCCCTGACCTTCATGACTGAGGGTGAGATTTCAGAGATTTATCTGATTTATCTGATTTATCTTCGTATTCCTGGCACTTAAGGACATGCTTGACATACAGTCAGTGCTTAATAAAATGTTGCTGGATGAGCAAATAATCCCTTTGCCTCCTGGACTGAGTCACTCCCCTCTTTGTTCCTTGCACTTCCCACAGTGGACTCCATACTGAAAAGCTTCCAGATGCCCAGCTTAGGGTTGACGTTCTCACCCCGCCAGAGCTCCTGTCCCAATGTCTTATGCCCTGTTGAGTACTTCTGTCTCAAACTCTCAGGCTCAAATGCACTGGTGGTCACTTTCTTCTCCATGTAGGATTCTACAGATTACAAGCTCCATGGCATGCATTATCATTTCTGTCCCCCACCCCCACCCCGCTCCAGCTCAAAATGCGGACATCACCTTTGCCTTATCCCTTTTGCTCATTTCCTATAAACAGACAACCATCAACTTCCATCAATTTTTGGATACATACTTTGAGATGTCTAATAGTCACCCACTGTTTCTTCCTGTCTACCACTGCTACCACTCTGGGCTAAACTGCACATTTAACAATTATGGCCCAGCCTTCACCTGTTCTCCATGTTTCATCTCACAAATGAACACCAGCTCCCCCCACCCCCTTAACTATCATTTTAATTATGAGGTTTCACTTTTCAAAAGTCTATGATGCTTTTTTTTTCTTCTTTGATTAAGCCTAAACTTCTCCTAAATCCAGATTACTTAGAATCTCGGCAGTTCCAATTTTATAACCCACTTCCCCCCAAAATGAACTATCACCTCTGGTCAGTCTACTTACCTCACTGAACCCTGACACACCATGTCTATAGCCATCACTTTGGTTATTCTCATTTTCTCACAGAAAAGCTTCTCATGGCCTCACTGAAATCTTAAGCATGCTTTTCCATGAAGCTCTACTGACTGTCCAGTGACCCCCCTCTCAGTGACACCAACAGTACTCATAGTCTGTACAGATCATTTAAAATGAGTTGTAGCCACTCAAAATTCACATGTGAAGGACCTAACCCCCAGTACCTCAGAATATGACCGGAGAAAACGTCTTTAAAGTGAGGTGACAAGGATAGGTCCTGATCCAATATGACTGTGTTCTTATAAGAAGAGGAGATTAGGACACAGACTCACACAGAAGGAAGACCATGTAAAGGCACAGAGAGAAGACTGCCATCTACAAGTCAAGGAGAGCAACCTCAGGAGAAACCAACCTTGCCAACATATAGATCTTGGGTTCCTAGTCTTCAGAACTATGAGGAAATAAATTTCTGTTGTTTAAACTACCATCTGTGGAACTTTGTCATGGAGCCCTAGACAAACATATAAAATCTTACTCTTTTTATCTGTGATTTTTTTTTTTTTTTAAAGTGGAGCCATACGTTTTTGAGTGGTAGAGATCATGACTTAGGTTTTGATGTCCTCCTGCCTTTTCATGGTTGTTCTCCATGTGGTAGGTGTTTGGAGATGCTAAGAGGTTAGATGGATCCATTTTAGCTCAGAGACAGAGTGGTAAGTGAATTTTGTTAATTGCATCACCATTCTCACTCTTTACAGGAGAATAAATTCCTGATGCTTCCAAGATAAGTGTTAATAGAAGAACCAATAAAACTCTTGAAAGAGAAACCAGAGGAATTCAGGAACAATCTAGGGGTATGAATATCTTAACCAAAATCCAGAAGTCATAAAAAAGTAGACATATTTGGCTATTAAAAATAGATAAAGATTAATATGGCAACAAAATCTGAAGACACAAGATAGATTTGGAAAACTATATTTACCATACGAACAAGTCAAGGGATTGTATTTGTAAAACATAAAAGTGCTAGCAAATGACCATAAAAATACAGACCAGCAGAAAAAGAGGGAAAAAGGTTTAAAAAGGAAGTTCAAGATGAGCAAATCTAAAAAGTCAA